GCTAATCTGAATTTCGTATTAAAGGCAAACGGCTGCAGTACAATGCTGGGAATGTACCAAGTCAACGGTCCAACGCTGGGAAATACCATAAATATTATAGCAAAAGACTTTGGACAAGGTGGGTCTTCCTATCTTCTTCGAATCCCTTCTTCATGCACTTTCATACGAAATGAAAGCCTTCACGACAACGTTTTAATTGTCCAACTAGTAAGAAGGGATTCATGATGTGGTTCATTTGTAATGATAAAAATGAAGCAATCCAAAGTGTTTAAACTCACATGTTTGGTTTATACAATTCCGATGAAAGCTTCCGACTAAATCATTCGAAATGACTCTGACTCCCATGTCGGCATGTGAACTGCGTCGAACAGTCATTGATATGGACATTTTTTCCACACAAGGGTATGAAGTCATCCATTCTTATTCCGTTACCTGTTGCGCGGTGTTATATTTCTTTTCGATGCCAGACCTCCTGGATTTGAGTTTTAACAAGTTGACGATTATGGCTTCTAAGTAAAGATTTTCAAGGCCTAGCCGACTTTTTTGGTTTTATCTGCCGGCGCTGGTACATTTCAACCCTTCATCTGCCAAGTTGCCCCGTTTCTCCCCACTGTTCACATATCCCGTTCACCTTCGCCCCGAGTTAAGCTCGTGGCAGAGGCTGGCACGTCTACTCGATCGCCCCACCGGCGTCCAGGTGAGGCTAACCGAGTTGGCGCTCTACTCCCTTTATCGTCTCATTTCGTTTGTCCGGGAGCTTGTTTTTCCAGGGAAGAAGATGTTTCATAGTTCGGTCATGTTGGGCGGGGCTCCGGGACCAAAAGGTCTACGCGACAGCCAGGGTTGCTGAAAGGGGCCGTGTGTTAGAGCATCAGTAAATAGAAGAGTGTTGTTCCAGAGCCTGGCAAACAATGGGCAAAGATCTCACACGGGGAGAGAGTAGTGTGCAAAGAGAAGTCCTACAGGCGAACGCGTGTGCGCACACACTTTCCCCACATGCCATGATAGAGGACGTGATGGATGAGGCGGAGGTACAGAGGCACCTGTAGCCGCTACGATCACCACTAATCCTACTCGAATTGACAGAGTCCAAAGGGGGGTTCAGAGGATCTGCGCCATTCTCGTATTTGGCCAGAGTCCTCACATTTGCATGCGCCCGTGCGGACACGTTTCATACCGCCTGGGCAGAGGGGGTTGAACACATTTTCCACCCACCCGAAAAGACAGAACCAACTTGAGGGCAAACAAAAGGAGCATCAAGTCATCTGACGTCTACCCTCGGACGGGTGTTGTTTCTCGTGTCCCCTCTTATCATAGACGGATCCCGAAATTAGCGTCGTCACCTTGCCATCATACCCCGAAGGCGATCTGACGTAAACAGGATGGGTTACGTGATGGCCGTCAAACTTTGGATCTTAACAGGCTCAGATCATACGAAAAGCCGGACGCAAGAAAATCTCCAAATTTCCACTTTCTTTGGTCGGCCATTTTCATCCTCATTCCCGCTTTTCTTGTGTCCGTTTCTCTCTCGCGCGCTCTCTCTCTTTCTCCTATCTCCCCTATCTCTCCTCTCAGCTCCTTGTTCTTGAGGCTCATCTTCCTCATTGTTAGCTCCATCTCAAGGTGCGCTTCTAAATCGTCTACTGCTTTTCCTCTACCGTTTTAGCATTAAATGCGCTTCACTTTTTGCGGCGGTTCGAGGCAAAGACAACGACTTACTTTACAAGGGTTTACTGTTGCTCTCTTAACCGGTCTCGAATGGCAGAGGCGAGATTGTCTTTGAGAAGAAGCGTCGTCTCCTTCTTTCAACCGATAGACACGTTGTGAACAGACACAATTAAGGAATGGTATAATGTCTCGGGTGGACAGATTAAGCCCTGCCTTACGGCTATACGCAAACACCACCCTATCGCCCATGAATCCTACTTTTATTCCAGGCTAGTTTTTATTTTCGTGATGTCGAGTTTGTATTTTTGAAGTTTCTTTAATCGCTAATCCGGCCACCGGATTTATTTCAGACTATGCTCAGCCAGATGGAGATGGCTGAGTTTAATCGCGGTAATAACTGCCTCTTTAGTTCTGTCTTCTCTTTTTCAGCCGTTTACACAAACCGTTTCGAGTGGGCTATCCCCGGATGGAGAGGCATTATAAGAGGGAGAACATGGAAGAAATCTCAGTCGAGTACGTCGGCTCTGCTTTGTCTGGTGGTCAAGCGAAGAGTGAAAAAAAGCCAGACATTAGATCACTAACGCATACCTTAGTAATTAAAAAATAAAATTGGTTTCTCATGTTAGTGTTCACTTGAATTTGGATACATTGAAGTTCAACCAGGCGAATTTTGGCAAAACCCTACTTCTGGATATGTGTTCTTCCATGTACATCTAGGTCTGGCAATGTTTCTTTGAGGCACTGAGGCATTGTCGACGTATGCAGACGCATTTTTTTGAAATTTATTATTTATCAAGAGATGTTCACCCATTTCAACCATATCGTCTTGTATTTGGCTCGCCCCTAAAATCGCTGAGGAAGCCTAAGTTGGAAAGTGGCCCTGCGAGCAATCCATCATTTTCAGATAGAAAACATGTATCCTAACGTCGAGTTGTTATCGCTGTCTCAGATGTTTAGACAAAATAGAATTCCACCCCACAATCTGCTTAGCCGGAGTATGTGAAAAAATGTTATTTGTCTGAGTTAACGAAACACCAAGGTCGATTGGAGAGAGCTGCAAGACTCAGGGGCTACGGATTGACAGAAAAAAGGGAGTGTGATTTCCTCCATGTAACTTTCACTTTGGGCACAGGAGTTGGGAAGACGAAGAATTGTAGGAAGATTAACATAAGATGAAGAATAATTAGTGAAATAAGCAGTTACCTGAGCTTGAAATAATAAAGGAATAAAACACGGAATGGGTGCTTTAAAAAACGAATTCTTTAAACAATTAATAAGTGAGGGAATCAATGGAGAAATAAGTTATCGGATAAATGAGGCAGGGACGACTGAGTAAACTATGCTATGAAAAACTGAATTGGCAAATTAATGAGAGAATTTTTCGTCTATAAGTAGGTTTTCGAGACTACCAGTAGATCATTCATATGAAGTATCTTCAACTTATTTCGTTTAAGCTGTAAGGGGACTATTAATTGAATTTACTCGCAATCATATGAGTAGAGCTAACGCTTAAATTGAATTTCACATTTCCTTGCTTCACAAAATGTATTCTCATCCAGACAGGAGTGGACTGCAGGTTTGACCTCGCCTAGGTCTTAACAACACCCCTGACGGGACTCGAGCCACGACAGCGCAGCGCATAATCTCAACACGTTTACCACCACGTCACATTGCTACGAGTGTCCTTGGGGTACAGGGCAGATGTGAATTACAAGGATGGTCAGGCATTTTCCCATATCATATTTTATGGTTAGAGGGTCGATGAAGCAAAGTTGTATTTGCCATGGCAATCGATCACATTACCTATTTTTGGTTTGCAAGTAGGTTTTCGAGACTACCAGTAGATCATTTATATGTGCTTTCACCATATTTGCTTAAGGTGGTAAGAGAAAATTTATCTACCAGCCCCCCTATCACCTTAAACAAAATATAGTAAAGAATGTTTGAACGTTTGGATGAGATAGTGATAGAATGGACACATGAATAAATGAGTGGTTGATCTGATGAATACATGCCTATCATTATGAATGAATGAGTGAGGTAATTAAATATAGGATGAGGGAATGAACGAATGGTTTATTGATTGGATTTATGAATGAATGAATGAAAGATACCACAAGTGAGGAGCTGGATAACCGAAATAATGAATGAGTTTAGCAAGATATGAATAATATAGTGAGCGAATAAATTAACGAAGTAGCCAGTTAACTAGCGTAGCCAATGGCTGAACGAGGGATCGAATGAATGAAAGAATGAAGGGGTGGATGAGTGTACAAATGGCGAAAGGTTTAAATTAAGGGATAAATGATGGTATGTTATGAAAACCAAGCTGTTGTAGCCTTTAGTATTGGCGCGTTCAGCAGGAAATTGGTCAAAGGATCAACTTCATTTATCCTGCGACGAATTGTAGTATGGTTTTAAGAATAGCCAGACCCGCTGACGATGCCGGCGAAACGTCTGGGGAATGTACCAAATTCACGATTCGACGCTGAAAGTTATCATGGATACGATTGACTCAGGATAATGTGCATCCCTCTAGGTCTACCTGACATTATGGCCAAGTTGCGAAAACATAGTCAAACAAGTGCTAATACCTGATGGAGTCAAGCAGTGTATGAGCAATCGATGAATCATGGGATAAAATATCATTTTAATATATGAGTGGATGCTGGTATGCTTGGTCGGTAGGGGAATATGGATAAACGAATGAGTAAGGTATTATTTGAATAGTTGCGCTAGTGGCTGAAGGAATGAAATTCCAGATACGTTAGTAACTAAGGCATAATCCAGATGGTCAGTGAATGAATGAATGGACAAAGGGATTAATGGAACACACCTAGTCCGGAGTCCATTGTCTGTATGATCATTTCCAAAGTTGAACCGTGGACGTGGTACATTCC